TATGATAGTAAAGTTTGCAGGAGAATGTAAAAGAACAGGGCGGTAGGATAACTGATTTTAATAGTTTTAATAATAAATAAAGTTTTTTTCCTAAATACAGGTGTGTACCTCGGTTTCCGAACGAACGCCTTGGTTAACGTAATTTTTGGTTTACGAATGAAAATCCATTAAAAATAATACCTCGGTTTACGAATTTTTTTTGCAATGCAAAGTAAGTTTCCCCAGGATGCATTGCGCCTGGGAGGTTTATAGCACCAGCCCCATGCCTTTAAAGTGCACCTTTAAAGAGTTTTAAAGAGTTTTGAACAATTAATTGGTTTTCAATGCATTCCTATGGGAAACCACATTTCGGTTTACGAACTTTTCGCAGTGCAAAATGTCCCGGAGAACGCATTAAATTCATACAGCTGAAACTCGAAAAATTAGAATATCGTGCAAAAGTTCATTTATTTCAGTAATGCAACTTAAAAGGTGAAACTAATATATGAGATAGACTCATTATATACAAAGCAAGATAGTTCAAGCCGTGATTTGTCATAATTGTGATGATTATGGCTTACAGCTCATGAAAACCCAAAATCCACAATCTCAGAAAATTAGAATATTACATGCAATCAATAAAACAAGGATTGTACATAGAACAATATCGGTCCTCTGAAAAGTATAAGCATGCATATGTACTCAGTATTTGGTTTTGGCCCCTTTTGCAGCATTTACTGCCTCAATGCGGCGTGGCATGGAAGCTATCAGCCTGTGGCACTGCTGAGGTGTTATGGAAGACCAGGATGCTTCAATAGCGGTCTTCAGCTCTTCTGCATTGTTCGGTCTCATGTCTCTCATCTTTCTCTTGGCAATGCCCCATATATTCTCTATGGGGTTCAGGTCAGGCGAGTTTGCTGGCCAATCAAGCACAATAATCCCACGGTCATTGAACCAGATTTTGGTGCTTTTGGCAGTGTGGGCAGATGCCAAGTCCTGCTGGAAAATGAAGTCCGCATCCCCATAAAGCTCGTCTGCGGAAGGAAGCATGAAGTGCTCCAAAATCTCCTGGTAGATGGCTGCATTGACCCTGGACTTAATGAAGCACAGTGGACCAACACCAGCAGATGACATAGCTCCCCAAATCAACACAGACTGTGGAAACTTCATACTGGACTTTAAGCATCTTGCAGTGTGTGCCTCTCCATTCTTCCTCCATACTCTGGGTCCTTGGTTTCCAAATGAGATGCAAAAGTTGCTCTCATCAGAAAAGAGGACTTTGGACCACTGAGCAACAGACCAGGTCTGTTTTTCTTTAGCCCAGGTAAGACGCTTCTGACGTTGTTTGTTGTTCAGGAGCGGCTTGACAAGAGGAATACGACATTTGAAGCCCATGTCCAGGATCAGTCTGTGTGTGGTGGCTCTTGACGCACTGACTCCAGCCTCAGTCCACTCCTTGTGAAAGTCCCCAACACTTTTGAATGGCCTTTTCCTGACAATCCTCTCCAGGCTGTGGTCATCCCTGCTGCTTGTGCACCTTTTTCTTCCACACTTTTCCCTTCCACACAACTTTCTATTAATGTGCTTTGATACAGCATTTTGGGAACATCCAACTTCTTTTGCAATTACCTTTTGAGGCTTATGGAGGGTGTCAATGATGGTTTTCTGTACAACTGTCAGGTCAGCAGTCTTTCCCATGATTGTGATTCCTACTGAATGTGTTGTGGCCTAATTAGCTGATTAGAGTGGGACACTTTGAGCCTAGAATATTGCACCTTTTCACAATATTCTAATTTTTTGAGATTGTGGATTTGGGGTTTTCATGAGCTGTAAGCCATAATCATCACAATTATGACAAATCACGGCTTGAACTATCTTGCTTTGCATGTAATGAGTCTATCTCATATATTAGTTTCACCTTTTAAGTTGCATTACTGAAATAAATGAACTTTTGCACGATATTCTAATTTTTTGAGTTTCACCTGTAAACCGAGGTACACCTGTATATGTGTAGCTTCAGACGAAGATACTGAATATTGTTATGTTGTCACTGTATGAAAAGGGTTTCATAGAAGAGTATCTTGTTCTTGACAACCAGAGCTTTCAGCTGTCCTGTTTCTTGTTTGTAATAGGTAACTATAAACTTGCACCTTATGTTTTTCACTCACATAAGATGTACATTGATCATATAGTTTCATGGTGTCATTTGTTGCTCTGTACAGACAGCCTATAGTAGAAGAAATCTTCACATTCTGGTGTCCAAGATTTGTGTTTGTGTAGAATCCTGAGACATGCAGCATTGACACTGCTCAGGTTAATGCATGACCTCTCTCTGTACATACCCCTCAATCCTAGGGCCTCTCACTCTACTGCTTTGCAGGTGAGAATTAAATAGTAATTAGGTTTGACACATACCAAACAGGCAGAACAATTAACAGAGAGCCACCATGCAGGCTCTCATCACAGCCCTCCCAAATTTGTGATGCAACACAGGAAATGGCTAGATTGGATGCTGTGTGACTGGGAACAAGAAGTGGTCTGTCCCTTTAGCAAATAGGGATAAGCTAGGTGATTGAATATGTGGACATAGGGAAATTGATCAGCCATGAAACTACAAACCGCAGCTACAATATGTGAGCCCATCATTACAAGGTAAGGCAAACAAGCGACGCAGGAAATATTAATGCTCTAACACCTAGTTTAAACAACAACAATGTTGAATATGTGCAATGTGTTTAAATGTTTATTTTATGGAACCCTGGATAGCAGAAAAACTTATGAGTTTGAGCATTTCCCCATATCATTCATATCTACAAAAAAAAAAAAATTCTGGGTATAGATACATTCCACCCAAAACCAAACATGTAATATCCTGTAGCTTATCAATCATTATATCTGGTGGCTGCATTAGTTTTCTTTTCTTAGGCTTTCTTTCCCTCTGTTTTCTTCTGGTGATCTGGCCAATAACACTCTTCCTGTATTAGAGTACCCCCACAGGGCGCACAGCAGACAGCAGCATTGTCAGTCTGGGGATCTGGTAGTGTTAAATGTACTATCAGATGTAAATACACTAATCCATTGAAGCCAAACTCCAGCTCGCATTTTATAATTAGTTACAGCAAAACAGATTTTTTTTTTCCTTTTGGGATAAAAGTTCTACATGCATAAAAAATCTGATTATTGTGATCATCCCTGCCAGTGTTAAAGGATAAGTTCACCTTTTGTAACATGTTACATGTTACACCCATATTCAGGGTGTAACAGGTTAATCTAACCGGCCCCCACACCCCTTCAATCCCCGCTGTGACAGCTAGTGGGGGATCTTCTCCTCCCTGCTAGCTGTCACAATTTTTTATAAAAACTTGGCAGTGTGGGGCTCTGCCCGACTGGCCGTGTCATTCATTCACAGCATTTTCTGAATGGGAAAACTGCAAGTCCCAGAAGCCTTTGAGGTTGTCTGCTTGCAGTTTTCAATGAACTACCACAGCACTCCACAGTGCCTTGGAAGTTCATTTGAGTCTTCCTGTCAGTAAGGGGTTTATTTACTAAAGCTGGAGAGTCCAAACTCAGACTCCCTTCTGCATAGAAACCAATCAGCTTCTAACCTCAGCTTGTTCAATGAAGCTTTGGCAATGAAACCTGGAAGCTGATTGGTTTCTATGCAGAAGGGAGTCTGATTTTGGACTCGCCAGCTTTAGTAAATAAACCCCTAAGTGTCTGCTTACTCATATGGGATGTATGACCAAGCAAATATACTGACAGGTCAGAGGGAGACCTGCATGCCACCAGCAATCTGCTGATCACTGGTGCAATGCTTTAGAGGCTCTACAAACAAATACACATTTTTACCTGCAAAAAAAATGTGCATATGTTATTTTTTGGTAAAAGGTGAATTTATCCTTTAAATGGCTTGTCTCATCCCTGTAAACTGATACATCTGGAAGGGAGCTTGTTCTTTTGAAAAAACAACAGACTTACTGGCCAGATCTCCAGGTGAAAATAAAAGAAGCCTAAAAAAGAAAATTGCTGCAGCTATAACATCTCAGAATAGGTAAGCTGCAATATAGTAAATGTTTGCTTTTAGGTTTACTATGGCTTTAAGCTCTGCCAATCTGTAATTCTCATGTCTATGGCCCTATTGGGCACTGAGCCACTCTCACAGGAAGTTATTTGGTTAGGTGGACCAGTTCCTGAAGGGGGTTTAGAGCCTGAGAGAAGTCAAGTCATCTTGGTTACAAAGTAAAACCAGTTTTAGAGGAACACATAAAGGAGACTTTTTGACAGTCTCTTTCACTTTCTGTGGACTGCCTGTACGCAGCTCAGCAGTGAAAAAAATAAGACACCTTTGGCTGCTGCATGTGGCTAAATGCCTATGTGAATGAGTCGTTCAATGAATAAATTAACTGAATAAACTTTAAGGTCTCATCTATGAATGTGCTGAATAAAGAGATTTCCCCTCACTTTCTGTTCTGGAGAAAATGTTTGACCAGACAGGAAGTAAGTGAAAATCTGTAACAAAGAAACCGACAACAATACAAAACTGACAAAGGTTCTAGCATTCTCCTGCCTAAAGTCGTAAACCCTTACATACTTTATACCCAGTGAAGTGACAGCAAAGGGTGATACACAGAAATTAAACAAATCCTACTACTTAAGTTGTACCTGTTTCTCGTTTACAGCTGTTAAAAGTGCAGAATTTATACAGCTTGTCTGAGCTTTCAAAAAGTAGAGGGTGGGGGAGTTGGTTACACTCAGTGAGGAGAGCTCTGACAGCTGATTGGAGGGAAGGGACACACCCCCTTCAGACAGCACACAGTAACAAAGATGAGGCTGTCAATCACAGGCTGTGTGCTGGAGCTCCCTCCCCTGTCCCTTTTTTTCTCTTGGTGTCAAAAGTGACTCATGCAAAAAGCAGAAGAATGAGTCAGCAGAGAAAAATGATACTTAGTGCTATGGATTGAGACAAGAAAACACTATAGAGCAGTGGTTCTCAACCTTTCTAATGCCCGCGACCCCTTAATACAGTTCCTCATGTTGTGGTCTTTTCGTTGCTACTTCATAACTGTAATTTTGCAGTGGGAGGACTAGTGCCACATCATTGGTGTCAGTGGAAGGAATAGTGCCCCATCACTGAAGTCAGTGGGATGAATAGTGTCCTATCGTTGGTATCAGTGGGAGGAATAGTGCCCCATCATTGGTGTCAGTGGGAGGAATAGTGTCCCATCGTTGGTGTTGGGAGGAATAGTGTCATCGTTGGTGTCAGTGGGAGGAATAGTGCCCCATCATTGGTGTCAGTGGGGGAATAGTGCCCCATCGTTGGTGTCAGTGGGAGGAATAGTGCCCCATCATTGGTGTCAGTGGGAGGAAATAGTGTCCCATCGTTGGTGTCAGTGGGAGGAATTAGTGTCCCATCATCAGTTGGTGTCGTTGGTGTCAGTGGGAGGAGGCCCCAATAGGAATAGTGCCCCCGTTGGTGTCATGGGGGGAATAGTGTGTCAGTGGGAGGAATAGTGCCCCATCATTGGTGTCAGTGGGGGGAAATAGTGCCCATCGTTGGTGTCAGTGGGGGGAAATCAGTGTCCCATCATTGGTGTCAGTGGGAGGAATAGTGTCCCATCATTGGTGTCAGTGGGAGGAATAGTGCCCCATCATTGGTGTCAGTGGAGGAATAGTGTCCCATCATTGGTGTCAGTGGGAGGAATAGTGTCCCATCATTGGTGTCAGTGGGAGGAATAGTGTCCCATCATTGGTGTCAGTGGGAGGAATAGTGTCCCATCATTGGTGTCAGTGGGAGGAATAGTGCCCCATCATTGATGTCAGTGGGAGGAATAGTGCCCCATCATTGATGTCAGTGGGAGGAATAGTGCCCCATCATTGGTGTCAGTGGGAGGAATAGTGCCCCATCATTGGTGTCAGTGGGAGGAATAGTGCCCCATCACTGATGTCAGTGTGGTGGAGGGGGGAATAGTGCCCCATCATTGGGGTCAGGGGGGGAATAGTGCCCCATCATTGGTGTCAGTGGGGGGGGGGAGGAATAGTGTCCCATCGTTGGTGTCGGTGGGGGGAGGAATAGTGACCCATTCTTGGTGTCAGTGGGAGGAATAGTGCCCCATCGTTGGTGTCAGTGGGGGGAGGAATAGTGCCCCATCGTTGGTATTAGTGACAGCAATGATGGGGCACTATTCCTCCCACTGACACCAATGATACTTACCTTGCTGACCCCTGCTCCAGCCTGGGCTCGCTCTCTCCCTCTCCCATCTACAGCCTGCATACCTGGCTGCAGCAGCAAAATTTGCACTTACCTGTCAGCTGTCTTCCTTCTCTGGCCGCTCTCCTCTTCACTTGTTCCGGCAGCTCCCTCGATCTTCTTTGATCTACGTGCGCTGCCGCTCGGCTCCAAGCTCCACCTCCTCGCCGGTGATTGGCCGCCTGTGTGCCTCTCCTGAGCTACAGTTCCGGTGGCCAATCAGCGGCGAGGAGGCAGAGCTGTTGAGTGATCCCGGAGGTGTGGCCAGGTGACAGGGGCAGCATATCATCCCGCCCACACATCGCCTGAGACAGAGGAGCGGTGTCTCGGTTCCTAAGACCATCGGAAATATGTGTTTTCCGATGGTCTTAGGCGACCCCTGTGAAATGGTCGTTCGACCCCCAGGTTGAGAACCGCTGCTATAGAGGGTTATGATTTGTTCACATTTCATGTCTGAGGGTTACATCCACTTTATGCATTTTTACTTCTGTCTGTGTTTCTTTTAGAGAGAATTATCCTCATTTTGTGACCTGGAGATAACCTTTCTCATAGACTGGATGAGAATTAATCTCTCCAACAAATCCTCTGAGAGCAGAAAAACCTGACAGGAGTGTTAGTATGGCGGAAAACATGTTCGCATTCCATCATTTTATATAGTTAGTTTCACTACGTGTTAACATGATTAAATTGCTCTCTTGTGTGAGTTAGTGCCCCTTATGGCCAGAGGCAGACTACTGCACTGGGCCCCACAGTGGAAAGAAAACGTCTTTTCACATGGCAGTGACACCAGTCCCGACACTGACTACTAAGGAAATAGCGTAAAACACTGATTTGCATTCACCAGTTCTTTACACATATTACACTTTACTCATACTTTCTCTTCAATCTGAAGGCATGGAGGGAAGCTGCTGTATACTTCGCAAGGCCTTGAACACTCGGGGCCCAGTCCATAGAAGAGTTCTGCTATGCAGCGACCCCAACTTTGGTCCATGCCACTTAGATGGGTAGACCATAAATCCACCAATACACCCCTCTGACAAAACCTCTGTCACTAGCCACCTGCGCCTCTTCCCCGGAACTGACTGCTTCTCCTTCCTTTTACCTCCTATTTCTGGTACCCAGAAAGTTGACATGAAGATTTACGCTTTGTTCTGCATTCCCATAAACTGTAGGATTTCACTCTAACTTTGTGCTCGCAATAAATCACACTAGATGATTCACTTAACCAGTAATTTCATTTACTGAATAAAGTGGCACAAATGTACAGATGTCTTCAGTTTGCCACTACTCACATGGCAGTGCACCAAATCTTACAGTGATGGCATTCCTGGGTTTTCTGGGCTATGCTGTGGTGTTTCATACCTTTTAGCTTGCAATGGTGTCAACCAATGGTGATTCACTCCCTATACCATCCCGTTCCAGGATCCCAACAAAGGGACACCCACAAAGGCTTGACACTACATCCCTCCATACAGTGAAGGAAATAAGTATTTGATCCCCTGCTGGTTTTGAATGTTTCCCTACTCACAAAGAAATGATCAGTCTAAAAATCGAATGGTAGGTGTATTGTAACACTGAGACAGAATAGCAACAAAAAATTCAAAAGAAATGCATGTCTAACAAATTATACACTGATTTGCATTTTCATGAGGAAAATAAGTATTTGATCCCCTGTCATTCAGCAGAATTTCTGGCTACCAGGTGTCTTTCATACAGGTAACAAGCTGAGATTAGAAGCAGTCTCTTAAAGGGAGTGCTGCTAATCTAATTTTGTTAGCTGTATAAAAGACACCTGTCCACAATAGCAATCAAACAATCAGATTCCAAACTCTCCACCATGGCAAAGACCAAACAGCTGTCCAAGGATGTCGAGGACAAGATTGTAGACCTGCACAAGGACCTATCGCTAAGCAGCTTGGTGAGAAGGTGACAACAGTTGGTGCAATCATTCGCAAATGGAAGAAACACAAAAAAACTGTCAGTCTCCCTAGGTCTGGTGCACCATGCAAGATCTCACCTCGTGGAATGTCAATGATCATAAGAACAGTGAGGAATCATCCCATAACTACATGTGAGGATCATCTCAATGATTTCTAGGCAGCTGGGACTACAGTCACCAAGAAAACAATTGGTAACACACTACGCCGACAAGGATTGAAATCCTGCAGTGCCCGTAAGGTCCCTCTGCTCAAGAAAGCACATGTCCAGGCCCGTCTGAAGTTTGCCACTGAACATCTGAATGATGCAGAGAAGGACTGGCTGAAAGTGTTGTGGTCAGATGAGACCAAAATCGAACTCTTTGGCATCAACTCAACTCGCCGTGTTTGGAGGAGGAGGAATGCTGCCTATGACCCCAAGAACACCATCCCAACTGTCAAACATGGTGGTGGAAACATTCTGCTTTGGGGGTGTTTTCTGCTAAGGGGACAGGACAACTGCACTGCATCAAAGGGATGATGGACGGGACAATGTACTGTCAAATCTTGGGTGAGAACCTTCTTCCCTCAGCCAGGGCATTGAAAATGGGTCGTGGATGGATGTTCCAGCATGAAAATTACCCAAAACACATGGCCAAGTCAACAAAGGAGTGGCTCAAGAAGAAGCACATTAAGGTCCTGGAGTACCTTAGCCATTCTCCAGACCTTAATCCAATTGAAAATCTGTGGAGGGAGCTGAAAGTTCGAGTTGCCAAACGTCAGCCACCAAACCTTAATCTGCCAAGAGGAGTGGGCATGACATGCATTTCATTTGAATTTTTTGTTGCTATTCTGTCTCTCAGTGTTATAATACACCTGCCATTCAATTTTTAGACAGATCATTTCTTTGTGAGTGGGCAAACATTCAAAATCAGCAGGGGATCAAATACTTATTTGCAGGGGCGGACTGATAACTCATGGGGCCCCCGGGCAATAGGAGATCATGGGGCCCCTGTGTCCTTGCCCAAACTCAAAAAAGCCTATGAAAAAGGTACCAGGGGCATCTCATGGGGCCCCCTACTGACCCCCGGGCTCTCGGGCAGTGCCCGAGTTTCCAAATGGTCTGTCCGCCCCTGCTTATTTCCTTCACTGTATATGGACCTTCTTGTTCTCATGACTAATTTCTAACCGCAACTCCAACCTTCCAACACCCCCTGTGGCCCAACCCCTTTCCACTTAAATAGCTTTGCTGCAAGAACTTGGAAAGGCCAAACAGTAGATTCATCACAGAAAGTTAACACTTACATCACTAAATGGTAACTTTGAATGCAATGAACACAGTACTGGCTCATTCCTCCAAGGAGTTCTATTCCTTCCCAAGGCTATCCATAGCTAAAAAAAAAACCTGGCCATACACATGGCAATATTAATTTACTTGCAACCAATTTCTATCCATCTGGAATCTGATCACTTAACCATCTACTACCCACAAGTTTGAACAACCACCTGAATTCAGCTAATTGCGAGATTGAAAGCAGAAAGTGATTAGTATTTTCCACTTACTTGCAGGTTTTGCAGTCAAAACCATTATCTGTGCCTTCGTTTGCTTTGCAATTAGTACAGCAAATGGATTCAAAAGGTGTAAGGCCAACTTTAGACTTTGAGAATTTTAAGTTTTTTGCAGTCAAAATTTAGAAGACCCTATTATATGTTTATTAGGTTTTCCCATTTAAACATGTTCTAAAATATTTTTTCAAATGAATTTCTTATCTTTCTAGTTGTTTCCCTAGAGCAGGCTTTTAGGCAAATTGCAAGCTTCTCTGGACAATTTCAAAATGAAAATGGAGGGACAAAGTGGGGACAGACTGGGTTTTCCCACATTACCATACAATGCAAAACCCAAGCCTTGAGATCTTTTAACCCTTTGTTGGGACAGACAATATTCAAATCTAAATTACAACTAATAATGAGATCTGCCAGCACAGCACAGACAGGGTTACATATGGTAAACATAATTCCCCAGTCTCCTCCTTGATATCAGCCAGCAGAGAAAAAACTTCAGCTTTGCAGTTTTCACAAAACCGCATTTAAAAATGTAAGCAGAAATATTGAAATACAGCAGGTAAAAAAAGTATTGAACACGTCACAATTTTTCTAGGTAAATACAGTTGTGTTCAAAATAATAGCAGTGTGTTGAAAAAAGTGAATAAAGCTGAAAATCCTTCTAATAGCTTTTATTTCCATACACACAAATGCATTGGGAACACTACACATTCTATTCCAAATCAAAACATGAAGAAAAATATATCAAATTTGTGTTGTTCCTCTAAAAAATTAAAGAAAAGTGAATATTAGACTGTTCAAAAAAATAGCAGTGTTTGTATTCTTCTTTACAAACTCAAACATTCA